TTGTTTATGAATACTACACTGATGCATGTCAAACCAGTGGTAGGGCACTTGACCTACTTTCTAAATGTCAAATCCTATTTTGAGTGTTTAAGTATGGGAAACTTTGGACTTGTCTATTTTACAGATTTTAGAGCAAGCTGAAAGAGTGATTTCCTGATTGAGCACATGAAAACTGCTATTTAAGTCATGTTAGTAAAATAGCCAAGGAGAAATTGATATAGAAGAGGGTATAGAGTAAATGCTTAAAAATGACATTTAGATTTAATTAGAAAATTAAATTTGTATACACACACACAAACTCACACACTCAAACACATAGCCTCATAACAAAACCACCCTGTTTTCTCATCTGGAATACTGTGTCCAGTAAACTGATATTCATACTATGGATAAATAATGTTTCTATTATAGATTAAATAAGTATTTGATATTACTAAAGTAACATAGGTATTCCACTGCATATAGAAATGATAAAAGTTAAAAAGGGGGGAGGGTTCAATTACATTTCTTTTTCTTTTTTTGTTAAATTTATTGGGCTGACATTGGTTAATATGATTATGTAGGTTTCAAGAGTACATTTCTATGATAAATGATCTGTATATTACATTGTGTGCCCACCACCCAAACCCAAATTATCTTCCATCATCATATATATCTGTTTCCCATGACCCTTTACTGCCCCAACTCTCCTGTCTGTCTATGAATTTCAGTTTTATACCCCACATAGAAGTGAAATCATATGGGTCTTAGCTTTGTCTGACTGACTTATTTTGTTTAGCATGATATTCTCAAGGTCCACCCACATTGTCACAAATGGCAGTATTTCATCTTTTCTTATGTGTGAGTAGTATTCCATCATATATATGTACCACATCTTCTTTATCCAATCATCAGTGGAAGAACACTTCAGTTGTATCCATGTCTTGGCCACTATGAATAGTGCTGCGATGAACATGGGGTGAATATATCTTTGTGAATAAATGTTTTCAAATGTTTGCAGTAGATACCCAGAAGAGAGGTTGCTGGGTCATATGGTAGGTATTTTTAATTTTTTGAGAAACCTCCATACTATGAAAGATGATGATGTTTTAAAATAAGTAAAAAGAAGTTCTATTTTAAATCAATAGGACTAAACTTAAGGCCCAATAAATTATATAAGCTAAAATAAATATGTATTAGTTTAAGATTGGTTTAGACCCATGGTCGGCAAACTGCGGCTCACGAGCCACATGCGGCTCTTTGGTCCCTTGAGTGTGGCTCTTCCTAAGCCTTAGGAGTACCCTAATTAATTTAATAGCAATGTACCTATCTATATAGTTTAAGTTTAAAAAATTTGGCTCTCAAAAGAAATTTCAATCGTTGTACTGTTGATATTTGGCTCTGTTGACTAATGAGTTTGCCGACCACTGGTCTAGACCAATAAAATAATGATAATTCTAGATCATGTTATGAAGGAAACTGCCAGAAGCCGATCCATCCTTGCTGCTTGACACAGTCGCTGCAGGGAAGAAACATCTGCACAGCATATGTTTCAAGGGACCTGGCGTATATAGCATACTGTTCTTAATATGTTTGCTCCCCTTAGCGCTATGTGTTTTAACCAAGGTCAGGTAGTTAATCACTTTAACTACAAACAATCACACTTAAGCTACATAATCTTTACTCCCTGGAATGGAGATAAGAAACGCCCTAACCTTTGCAATAGAAATTGACAGGATTAAAATCAACCGGTATAAATACAGATGTAACAAGACAATAAACACCAGAACTTGGCTGGAGATCCTGGCTAGGCTGCTGATCAACTGAATGCTGTCTCCGTGTCATTTCTTCTTCCCCGACTCTGTCCACACGTTTGGGAACCCCTGGACCTGCTGGGCTTTCGACCCCAACAACATGCGCTGCTGAGAAGATGTCTCCTACACGGCCACTCTTCAGTGTACCCGAAGTGCGGACGCAGTTTACGAAGTCTACCAGAGAAGCCCTGAACAACAAAAATATCAAGCCATTGTTGAATACCTTCAGCCAGTTACCTGGAACTGAAGATGAAAAACAATGTACCCTTGACCAAGCTTTCAGAGGTGTTCTGCAAGAAGAAATTATACATCACTCATCTTGTGAAAATGTTTTAGCTATTATTTCTCTTGCTATTGCGGGAGTAACTGAAGGTATTTGCACCGCATCTACACCTTCTGTATTGTTGGGAGACGTTTTGGAATGTCTCCCTTTGGATCAGTGTGACACAATATTCACGTTTGTGGAAAAAAATGTTGCTACTTGGAAATCAAATACATTCTATTCTGCTGGGAAAAATTATTTACTACGTATGTGCAATGATCTCTTAAGAAGATTATCAAAATCCCAGCACACAGTTTTTCGTGCACGAATTCAACTCTTTTTGGCCAGGCTTTTCCCTTTATCTGAGAGATCCGGTCTTAACTTGCAGAGTCAGTTTAATCTGGAAAATGTCACTGTTTTCAATACCAATGAGCAGGAAAGCACCTTGGGTCAGAAGCACGCTGAAGACAGAGAAGAAGGAATGGACGTAGAGGAAGGTGAAATGGGTGATGATGAAGCTCCAACAACTTGCTCCATTCCAATGGATTACAGCCTGTATCGAAAATTCTGGTCACTTCAGGATTACTTCAGGAACCCTGTGCAATGCTATGAGAAGATTTCATGGAAAACTTTCCTCAAGTACTCAGAAGAAGTCCTGGCTGTTTTCAAGAATTATAAATTAGATGATGCTCAGGCCTCAAGAAAAAAGATGGGAGAATTAAAAACAGGAGGAGAACATGTATTTGTTGCAAAATTTTTAACAAGTGAAAAGTTGCTGGGTTTACAACTGAGTGACAGTAACTTTCGCCGACACATTCTACTGCAGTATCTCATTTTCTTCCAATATCTCAAGGGACAGGTGAAATCCAAAAGTTCAAACGATGTTTTAACTGATGAGCAGTCACTCTGGATTGAAGGTACCACAAAATCAGTTTATCAACTGCTCTCTGAAAACCCACCCGATGGAGAGAGATTTTCAAAGATGGTAGAGCATATATTAAACACTGAAGAAAACTGGAACTCATGGAAAAGTGATGGCTGCCCAAGTTTTGTGAAGGAAAGAACATCAGATACTAAGCCGACGAGAGCAGTACGAAAGAGAACAGCACCAGAGGACTTCCTGGACTTCCTGGGGAAAGGGCCCAACAAAAAGATTCTGAAGGGAAAGGAGGCGTTAACGAGCCTTTGGAATCTCTGCCCGGATAATATGGAAGCTTGTAAATCAGACCCAAGAGGCTATATGCCAACTTTGGAGGAATTCTTTGAAGAAGCCATTGAACAGGCAGACCCGGAAAGCATGATTGAAAACGAATATAAGGTTGTGAACAATCCAAATTATGGTTGGAGAGCCCTGAGACTGTTAGCACGGAGGAAAAGAAAGTAATACCTCACACTCCTCCACAGGATTTATAATTGGGGCCATTTTCTTAGGACTGCTGATCCCATAGTCTGGAAATCATCACAACCAGTATGGGTTGAGCAATGGCCCTTAACATCTGAGAAAATATCAGCAGCCCGACAATTAATTGATCAGCAATTAGCAGAGGGACATATAGAGCCATCAAATAGTCCCTGGAACACACCCATATTTGTAATAAAAAAGAAATCAGGCAAGTGGAGACTTTTGCAAGATCTAAGGGCCATAAATGACACCATGGAAGATATGGGCTCCTTACAACCTGGATTGCCCTCCCCTGTGGCAATTCCACAGGAGTATTGTGTTGTTGTTATTGACTTACAGGATTGTTTTTTCACTATACCTCTTCACCCGGCTGATTGTCAAAGATTTGCATTCAGCATACCATCAGAAAACTTTAAACAGCCTTATCAGAGATATCAATGGAAGGTTCTCCCACAAGGGATGAAAAATAGTCCTACATTATGTCAAAAGTTTGTAGATCAGGCATTGCAAGTTATTAGAAAGAAATTTTCAGATCTATATCTTATTCATTATATGGATGATATTTTACTAGCTCATAAAGATCGGGCTACTTTACAGGAAATTCTTACTCAGACCGTCCTTGCTTTAGAAGAACATGGTCTAAAAATAGCCCCAGAAAAGATTCAGACTGAACCTTCTTTTTCCTACTTAGGCAGAATATTACATACCTCTACTATCACCCATCAGCCTTTACAATTAAGAAAAGATCATTTAAACACATTAAATGATTATCAGAAACTATTAGGTGATATCAACTGGGTCAGGTCATATCTAAAAATAACCACTCTTGACTTAAAACCTCTATTTGACATTTTAAAGGGAGATTCTAACCCTAAGTCTCCCCGACAATTAACTGTAGAAGGAGAAAAGGCTATAGCAAAAATAAAATTATGGTTGGAGAGCCCTGAGACTGTTAGCACGGAGAAGCCCTCACTTCTTCCAGCCAACCAAACAACAGTTCAAAAGTTTGCCAGAATATCTTGAAAACATGGTACTAAAGCTAGCAAAGGAATCACCACCTCCTTCTGAAGAAATAAAAACAGGTGAGCGTGAAGATGAGGAAGATAATGATGCTGTACTGAAGGGAAATGAAAGCCCTGATGCTCGCCGAGACAAACCTGTAATAGGGGGGAAAATAGAGACATTTGCCAACAAATTGGGTGAACAATGGAACATTCTGGCTCCTTCCACATCACCCCAGACTGAAAAATAAATAAATAAATAAATAAATAAATAAATAAATAAATAAATTTTTTAAAAAGCAGGGAAGGATTGGCCCTCTTCATGGCCCACGCACACCACCTCCACTTCCCTAGTAGGACTAGGCAAGGCATCTAATGTAAAAAAGAGTTCTCAGATTTTAACTTGGGCTGATGAAGATCAACATTCAGGAACATTCTGTCCCTATGTAATTACGACTATCCCCTTTACATTATGGGGAAGAGATATCTTGTCTCAAATGGGAGTTCTATTATATAGCCCCAGTGATAGAGTAACATCACAGATGCTAGACACGGGATCTAATCAAGAAAAGGGCTTAGGAAAAGAAAGTAATACCTCACACTCCTCGACAGGATTTATAATTGGGGCCATTGCCCATAGGACTGCTGATCCCATAGTCTGGAAATCATCACAACCAGTATGGGTCGAGCAATGGCCCTTAACATCTGAGAAAATAGCAGCAGCCCGACAATTAATTGATCAGCAATTAGCAGAGGGACATATAGAGCCATCAAATAGTCCCTGGAACACACCCATATTTGTAATAAAAAAGAAATCAGGCAAGTGGAGACTTTTGCAAGATCTAAGGGCCATAAATGACACCATGGAAGATATGGGCTCCTTACAACCTGGATTGCCCTCCCCTGTGGCAATTCCACAGGAGTATTGTGTTGTTGTTATTGACTTACAGGATTGTTTTTTCACTATACCTCTTCACCCGGCTGATTGTCAAAGATTTGCATTCAGCATACCATCAGAAAACTTTAAACAGCCTTATCAGAGATATCAATGGAAGGTTCTCCCACAAGGGATGAAAAATAGTCCTACATTATGTCAAAAGTTTGTAGATCAGGCATTGCAAGTTATTAGAAAGAAATTTTCAGATCTATATCTTATTCATTATATGGATGATATTTTACTAGCTCATAAAGATCGGGCTACTTTACAGGAAATTCTTACTCAGACCGTCCTTGCTTTAGAAGAACATGGTCTAAAAATAGCCCCAGAAAAGATTCAGACTGAACCTTCTTTTTCCTACTTAGGCAGAATATTACATACCTCTACTATCACCCATCAGCCTTTACAATTAAGAAAAGATCATTTAAACACATTAAATGATTATCAGAAACTATTAGGTGATATCAACTGGGTCAGGTCATATCTAAAAATAACCACTCTTGACTTAAAACCTCTATTTGACATTTTAAAGGGAGATTCTAACCCTAAGTCTCCCCGACAATTAACTGTAGAAGGAGAAAAGGCTATAGCAAAAATAGAACAGGCCATCAATAAACAGCAACTACAGTATCTAGATTATTCCAAATCTTGGGCCTTAATTATTCTAGCCACTAAATATACTCCTACAGGATGTTTATGGCAGGAAGGACCATTAGAATGGATACATTTACCTGTCACTCCTAGGAAGATTGTACCATCCTATCCTTCCCTAGTGGCCACTCTCATTATCAAAGGTAGACGACGCAGTATCGAACTCTTTGGAAGAGAAGTTACTGAGATAATAATACCTTATAAAAGAGAACAATTAGACACACTATTACAATTTGAAGAAGAGTGGCAAATAGCTATAGGTAACTTCCCAGGACAAATTTTACATCATTTGCCAAGATCACCTATATTGCAATTTCTCTCCCTACATCCGTTTATATTTCCTATTAAATGTTCAAAAGAGCCATTATCACCTCCTGCCTCCTTAGTATTCACAGATGGCTCCTCTAATGGTAGGGCAGTGACAATCATTGACTCAATAACCCATGTTCAACAAACCCTAGAGACGTCAGCCCAGAGAACAGAGCTTTTGGCAGTCATTTATGCTTTTGAACAATTGCAACAGGTTCCCTTTAACTTGTACACTGACTCTCAATATATAGTTAAATTATTTCCTCATATTGAGACCGCCTCTCTCCCACAAGGAAGAACAGCCATTTTCTCTTTGTTAACTCAGCTACAAACTTACATTCATAAACGAGAAAAGGCTTTCTATATTGGACATATTAGAGCTCATTCCTGCCTACCAGGACCCTTAAGCGAAGGAAATTATCAGGCGGATCTACTAACTCGCCCAGTAGTTTGTACAGCTCTAGAAGAAGCCCGGCGGTCTCATGCCATTCACCATCAAAATGCTTCTGCTCTCCGTCTATATTATCGCATATCTAGAGAAGCTGCTCGAAGTATTGTGCGTGACTGCGGCCATTGTCCTACTCATTTTCCTAGCCCTGCTACTGGAGTTAATCCAAGAGGACTTAGACCCTGTGACTTATGGCAGATGGATATTACTCATGTCCCATCTTTTGGCAAACTTTGCTATGTGCATGTTTGTATTGATACCTTTTCTCATGTTATCCTTGCTTCTGCACGTACAGGAGAAGCCTTTAAAGATGTAAGTCAACATTTATTCCAATGTTTTTCCTACCTAGGAATACCAAGGGCACTTAAAACAGACAATGGGCCTGCCTATACCTCTAGAGCTTTTAAAAACTTATGCTCTACATTCGGCATCGCACATACTACAGGAATACCTTACAATCCTCAAGGCCAAGCAATAGTAGAAAGGGCTCACCAAACTTTAAAAACACAAATTAAAAAATTACAAGAAAATGAGTTTAAATATTCCTCTCCTCATCATGTTCTACAACATACTCTATTTGTAATTAATATACTAAATGTAGATTCTGAGGGAAATTCCCCGATGTACAGGCATTGGAACCCTGATCTAACTAAACCTAAAGTCCTCGTCAAATGGAGAGACTTGCTTACAGGAGCCTGGAAGGGACCTGATGTACTTTTAACCCGGGGGAGAGGATATGCTTGTATATTTCCACAGGACGCAGACTCACCTGTGTGGATTCCAGACCGTCTAGTCCGACCTTATGTCTCACCACCCCCCGTCTC